TTGGGATAAATGCTCAATCTTCCATATCACCCCACATCCTCCTTTTCTTCTTTTTAAAATGTTTATTGATTTTAGAGGGAAAGAAAGAATGGGGGAGAGAGAGAGAGAGAAAGAGAGAGACATTAATTGGAGAGAAATATCGATCAGTTGGCTCTTGTACACACCCTGGCTGGGGATTGAACCTGCAACCTAGGTATGTGCTCTGATCAGGAATCGAGCCTCCAGCCTTTTGGTGTAGGGGACGATGCTCCGACCAACTGAGCTACCAGGGCCAAGGCTTTTTTCCTTTACTTTGTTTTTTGTTCCCCACCACCACTCCTCCTTCCCAAAATGGCCTCTGGGTGTGAAGACATTTTTTCACTTCCAAGATATATAACACAGTCTGGTTTTTCATGACAAATACATACAAATAAGTCTAAGTTCCAACAAGAGGCTTTCTTTAATTCCATAAAATATGCTATATGCATCTATTTAAAAGGGAAGTTTGCAAGTGTGAATGTGGACATGAGACAAATTTGGGGGTGGTGGGAAAAGCAGGGTTCTCCCTCCGCGTGTCAGCTCCTGCAGTGTCCCCTGCCATGCGTGACAGCAGCCCCGCAGCCACCGCGGCCACCTCTGGATCTGAAATCCACAGCTGGGGAATGTGCCGGTGGCGCCTGGGCTCCCTCTCAGCCGCATGGCCCTCCCCACGCATTTCATAAGATATTTTACATAAAGTCATCAATTAGCAGCAGATAAACAGGTTCTGGTCATTAATTTCCTGACATAAGCAGTTGTTTTATTTTTTATCTATGAGCTGCGCTCGAAGCCAACAGGGGCCCCTTGCAACAACGTGCGTGCAAGCCCTGGGGCCCCGCCTTCGCACGCACTCGTTGGCCCCACCTGGCCCTGGCTGGGGCCGCAGCTGAGCGCTCCACCTGCTCCCCTTGCCACAGGATGTCTCAATTCTCATCACCCCTGCTTTTGCATTTGCTATACTAACATCAGAAAACCATAGGTTTAGCCCCGGCCTGCGTGGCTCAGTGTGTTGAGTGCCAACCTGCAAACCAAAGGATCGCTGCTTCTATTCCCAGTCAGGGCACATGCCTGGGTTGCAGGCCAGGTCCCCAGTGGGGGGTGCGTGAAGGACAGCCACACATTGATGTTTCTCTCTGCCTCTTTCTCCCTCCCTTCCTCACTCTCTCTGAAAATAAATACTTTTTTAAAAAAGGAAACTACAGCTTTATACCTCGGTTATCTTTGTTGCCTAATTATGCAGGGTTCTCCAGAAAAAAGAAGGTTCCTACAATTATTTTATCATTATTAGCTGTGCCCATGTTAATGATCAAGGGGAGACACTCACCCCACTTGCCTGCCTGTTTGCAGAACAGCCTTTGGGGATGCATGCACCCTGGTAGCCTGCAGAGGTTGAGGCCTAAACCCGACGTTAGAATTTCAGAATGTCTCGTGTAAATGTTTTTACTGCTTTTTGAAAATAAATTTTTAAAAACTTTTTCATTAAAAAAAAAATCTGCTTCTTCTACAGGCCGTGAGGAAATTTCTAAGTGCCTTCTGCACCGCACGAAAGACCCCCTTCCCCACCACATGGGGGCGCTGCACTTGGCTTGGCCTGGGGCGACCCCTGCAGCTGAGAGATGCCCCTGAGGATGGCCTCCTCCCAGGGTCTCCCACAGCGAGCAGAGGGAAGAGGTCTCCCTCCCCAGTCTCTCCAGCACCTACCGCCCTCAGCCTGGGCCCGGGGGGACAGGGTTGCCTTGTATGTGTGTGTGACTGCTTGCTCACGGGTCTCAGGGGCTCCTTCTTCTCCTGCACCTGTCCGGCTCCGACGGGACATGCTTGCCTCTCCTTTCTGTCTGGCCTGGAACCCTCGACTTGAATCTCTTGTTCTTCTTGAATGAACAAGGGTTAATGACTGTATCAGTCCCCTGTTGCTGTGTAACACATTACAACTAACGTAGTAGCTGAAAACACCACCACTTTAGCCCTAGCCAGTGTGGCTTAGTTGGTTAGAGCATCATCCCATGACCGGAAGATTGCGGGTTTGGTTCCCAGTCAGGGCACATGTGAGAGGCAACCCATTGATGTTTCTCTCTCACATCGATGTCTCTCTCTCTCTCTTCTCTCTCTCTAAAATCAATAAGCATGTCCTCAGGTAAAGATAAAAAAAATAACAACTCATCTCACAGTTCTGAGGTCAGAAATTCCAGGCAGGGTCTTGCAGGCTAGACTCAAGGTGTTGACGGAGCTGCATTCCTTCTGGAGACTCTGCTTCCTTGACTCCCAGCCTTGGGGGCTGCCTGCCTTTCTGGGCTCATGGCCCCGTCTTTGCATCAGTCCAGTCTCTGCTTCTGCTGTCATGTCCGCTCCTCTTACATTGACCCTCCGGCCTCTCTCTTGGAAGGGCACTTGTGATCATGTTGGGCCCGCCCAACTAGCCTAGGGTATTGCCCTGGGTCAAGGTCTCCAACTTAATTACAGCTGCAAAAATGTCTTTGGCCACGTGAGGTTCCCAAGCTCCCAGGTTCCCAGACTAGAACATATATGACTTTGGCAGGCCATTTTCTAGGCTAACGCATTGAAAAATAAATTTCATAACTAATTCTAAATATTGATGTCACCATTGTACCCTCTGAAATTGTCCCCTCATGGCTGAAGAAAGGGAGACAACCCACACTGGTCTCTGAAGGACCTAGAGTCTGTTCAGCAGATTTTGTGAAAAGCAAAAGGAAGAATACAAATTGAAATTTAAAAATGTTACTCAAATATGTAAAGAAAATACACAAAAGCCCTGGCAGGGTGGCTTAGTTGGTTGAGCGTCATCCCACGCGCCAGAAAGATGCAGGTTCGATCCCCGGTCAGGGCACATACAGATTCGGTCCCTAGTCAGGGCGCTTAGGGGAGGCAACTGATCGATGTTTGCCTCTCACATCAATGTGTCTCTCCCTCTCTAACAAAAGTCAATTAAAGAATCTCCTCAGGGGAGGATTTTATATAGAAACTATACAAAGGAACTTTGGTTTTGTTGCCACACACTGAAAAGAAGGAAGGGAAAGCCAATGTATGATGCCTGGCCGGGGTTTCCCACACAGCACCTCCTGGCAGCGGCCGGAGCCGAGACCAAGGTTCGCTCTGGCGCTCTTGCTCAACAGAGAGAGATTCTATCACAACGCCTGTGTGGGAATGGGGGTGCCCAAACTCTGCACGATTTCTCAATCTGAGCGCCTACATTGAAAGAGGAATAAATACTCCAGTTCACGGCAAGTTCACATACATGGAATACAGAATAAGAAGTTGAGAAAAATAAAAGCTTTCAGACCAAGGGTTCTCAACCTGGGGTCCATGAACCCATAGAATAAATAAATGACTTTCAAAGGTCCAAGATTGTTTTTAAATACATGAGTAAAATTTAGTGTGTTTGTGTTACATGTTTCCCCCCCCAGGAAGAAGGTACATAGTTTTCATCACAACTGCAAAGGGATCTGTGACTCTATAAAATATGTTTTATATACAGTGATCAATTAGGAACAGATTTTTCAAGAGCCTCCTGTCATTAATTTCCCGACACAAGAAGTTGTTGCATCGCATCTATGAAATGTGCTCCAAGTCAGCCTAGGAACCGTGTGGTAATCCGCATGCAAGCCCTAGGGCTCGATTCCTGCACCCACGTACCAGGCAAAGCAAAACAGAGACTACCGCTTCCTGCTCGGTGGGGATGGCGGGCTTCCGAGTTACCGCGGAGGAGCGCCCGCACGGCTGCCGACTCCAATCTTGTGGACCAATAATGACCAAGCACAAGGGCAGAGTAAACTTACTTAAATAAAGGGATTTACTGGAAGGCGCGAGTCCGCGGTGACTCCACAGACGATCACCCAGCGAGGGCAGAAATCTTTCGCAGTTTACTTACCTTCCGCGTTTAGGACAGTGACTGTGGAAGGTGATTATCCGTAATAGATCATCAATAAATGTGCATTGAATGAATGACTTGGTAAAGAGTTTTCTGGAACCCCGTGGAGACTGCGGGTCCCATTAAATGAGGCCGATTTTTAAAATTTACTTTACCAGTAATAAGAACATTTTTTGTTTTGTTTTTACTGTATCTTGTTTGAGAAAGCAAAGCACTTAGATTATACCTTGTCTCTATCAATGATTTGGTTCTGTTCTTTTTGTTGTTGTTGTTTTCTCCAGAAAAACAGCCTTTAGTTCTCATTTTCAAAACAGAAAATCACTTTTAAAAAAGCAGAAATTGCCCTGGCTGGCGTAGCTCAGTGGATTGAGCGCAGGCTGCGAACCAAAGCATCGCAGGTTCGATTCCCAGTCAGGGTACATGCCTGGGTTGCAGGCCATGACCCCCAGCAACCGCACATTGATGTTTCTCTCTCTCTCTCTTTCTCCCTCCCTTCCCTCTCTAAAAATAAATAAATATAAATATAAAAAAATGCAGAAATCACCCCAGGTGGGAAGTGCAAACACGCCTTGAAACTCTGGAGAGAAGAGCCATGTGGTGCACAGCTCGTAAAGATGAAGTGGTTCATTCAGGCACCTGTTTTTTTCTTACCAGGTTTAAAATCCAGCCACCCTGACTGCCCACTATGGTGTTGCTCATTTTCTGCACACCAAGTGAAAGTCCTGGAGAAAACTTGACCCCTTGAGGAATAATAGTCCTACTTCTCTAAAGGAAATAACTAGGTGACCAGACTCTCCTCCTCCAGCAACAAAATAAGGAGCCCAACGTCCCCATAGAAAGCTATTTAGAGCAAAACTAAATAACTTCTGAATGTGACAAATTATAATTTCTACAATCCCTGGGTGTTGCTGATCCGGTTGGGACTGGGTTGTGTGTTTGTGGTTTCGTTCTATTGTGTGTTTTTTTTCTGCAGCTTAATTGTTTAGCTTTGCCAGAATGAAAGAGGAAGTGCCTACTAAATACCCCCAAGACGGTTCCGCCAGCCTGGGGGTTCCTGAGGTTTCCGGCTTCCGCCTTCAGCCAGCAAGCGCACATACGCGCCTTCCCGCCAGCTGCGCAACTTGGGTCTTTCCTTCTTCGGCAGCTTTTGTCTCCGGAGAACCACCAGGCAGAGACCCCTCCAGCTCTTCCCAGCGCCTAGGTGGCTCTCTCTCGGGGATCTAGAGTAGTGACAAGTGACTTTGTGCGTCTTTATTCGCTTCCCACTTATTGAAAAGCGTGCAAGAGGGTGTCGGAGGACGGAAGAGAAGGGGAGAGAGACCGCAGCACTCCGCAGCCGCGGCTCCAGGACACCACGGCCCCCCGCGGCTTCCGCAGCCCTGCTGGTCCCCCGGGCGCACAGCTCCGCCATGCAGTGCCCCTGGAAAGGCCTTTGGGCGGCTCCCGTGCTCCTTCTCCTGCCCTCGCTCGCCTTGGCCTCTGCAACCTACGGTGACCTGCCTGGCACCAGGGCCTCAAAGGGCCACACCTGTGTAGGTATGTACATGTTTTGCATATTTTAAAGTGGACATGACATTGTGATTAAATAACCTTGCTTGCATAGCCTGTCACCTATTAAATGACATCAGGAGCTGTAAGATTCCAAGGAAGATTCCTCACGGACGTGGAGGGACTTTGGGTCTGAGAGCGTGTGTTCTCACTCTACACACTTGTGTGTGCAGGGAAGCGCTGTGTACAGTTGCTAGTTTGCATTAGTTATTAAAGTCTTCCACTGCCGTGGTGACTGGGTTCTCTCCCCCACGGCCCCAGATAGACAGCTACGAAAGCCCGGCACGCTGACACCCTTTCAGAAGGCAGCATCGCACCGCAGAAAGAAGAGGGGCTTTGAACTCCGACAGACACACCTGAGTTCAACTGCTGCCCACCCCTCCCACTCTGCTCCACCCCTCACTGTCTGTGAAGCCTGTGGGAGTCCCCTACCCGCCCCCCACAACTCTGTGCTGTTACTGATGAAACACAGTCCCCTCCTCACAGGGAGGCGGTGAGAACTGGGACTGGGCAGGTACATTCAGAGCATTTGCGCCCACTAAGGGCTCAGCCGCCTCAGTTTCCTTCTTTCTCCCGGGGAATCCAGAGCTGCCGGTAATAGGACGGTCACCTGGAAACATCGAACAGTGACTGAGATACAGCTCCTTCATCTTTCTTGAAGTACTTTATTTCCAAGTTGTTGGTTTTTGGGGAGGGCTGCATTTGAGGAAGAATAAAAGTAGGATAAGACCTTTGAAATTCACATCAGTCCTGTAGCTTCCCAACCAGTGGCAGGCCTTTTCATGGGTCAGTCCTGGGAGCCAAGGGGACTTGGAAACCTTGGCAGCCACTAATGCAATGAGCTACTCAGAAAAAGAACCCAAAGTGTAAGTACGATGGCCATATCTTACAAAGGGAAAATCCAGACCCAGGTTCTGACACTTAATAAATTACTTCTGGAGACAGCACAGAAAAATATCTAAGTTCTATTTCCTACAAAGCCATGACCTTGGGTTATTGTACAGCACATCTGTCCAGAAAAAGTCCAACCACTGTTAATATAATGAGAATGGTGTGTGCTACATCCATGTGACCTGGCAGCCAAGGAGAGTGGACTGGAATGCGCATGTGTGAACGATGATGATTTCACTGTGCTGGTCAGTGGGGGCGGTAGATGTGGTTGGGTGAGCATGTGTACTGTGTGGCCGTCACATGCAAAATGACTGAGCAAGTGGAAAAATTAATCTGCCTCAAATATTGCGATAAGCTTGAACATTCTTCTGTGGAAACTGTTCAGGTGATTCAAAAGGCCACAGCTATGGGCAACTGGTGATTGGCAGCTTAGTCACGACAACATACCCACTCATGCACCACATCTCATGCGGAGTTTTTTAAGAAACTTCAAACCACCCACGTGGCTCAGCCCCCCTACAGCCTAAATTTGGCACCCTGTGACTTCTGGCCTTTCCCAAAACTAAAATCACCTTTGAAAGGGAAGAGATTTCAGACCATTGATGAGATTCAGGAAAATACAGCGGGGCAGCTGATGGCAACTAGGAGAACTGTGTGAGGTCCCAAGGTGCCTACTCTGAAGGGCACTGAGGCGTCATTGTCCTGTGTACAGTGTTTCTTATATCTTCTTCAATAAATGTCTCTATTTTTCATAATACATGGCTGGATACCTTCTGGACAGGCGTATGTTTGTGAACACACATATAATTCCAAAGTCTCCTTTTAAATTAAAACCTTCAGACCACAGATTCCCTGTGAACCCGTGCTCCACAGTCCTGGGAGCAAAGGTGTGCGACCCCCAGGGACCATGATGGGAGGTCATCCTCACCCACTGTGTGCTTCTCTCAAATAAGTACTTACCATCATTTCATTTGCTCAAAACAAAACCCTGAAACCTGTCTAACAAAAATACACTTGATGAAAGGCTTAAGTGAAATAAGCTCTGCTTCTAGGATGGTTGCAAATCCAGTGTTTAGATTTGGGCAAGGTGTCTGAGATACTGGGCCTCCGACGCTTTCAAACAGACATGAGATCATAATGCACCCCCTCCCGGCCCCATCCCCAGCGAGGCTCGGAGAGCTCACGGGAGCTGCCGAGGGGTCCAGGAGGAGGTTGTCCTGGGTGTCTATCGCTGCACATCAAATTAAAACATAACCATGTTGCTACACCATCGTTTTCTGGGTTGAGAACTTTTCAGAGCCTGACTGGTGATTCTTCCGCTCCATGGAAGGTTGGCTGAGGTCACTAAGTGGCACCCAGATGGAAGACGGGTGGGTCTGGAATGATCCGAGACAGCCTCACTCACATGCCTGGTGCTTTGTGGGCGGGGGGTGGGTAGAAGTCTGGCTCCGCTGGGACCGTCCGTCAGAGTTTTTACACTTGGCCTCTCAAGCAGGACAGTCTCAGGAAAGTAGGACTTCTCACATGGTAGCTCAGGGACCCCAGAAAGAGAGAGTTCCAGAAGACAGGAGCCAGAAGCTTCCAGTCTGTCAAGGATTGGGTCTGGAGACTGGGACAGTGTCCCTTCATGTTCTATCAGTCAACGCAGGCCCAGGTCCCTCCAGCCAGAATGCAGGAGAGCAGACACAGACCTTCCTTCTGATGGGGACTGCCAAGCAATTCGTGCCCATCTCTGCCAGCCACACGAGTTCACTCTGATTGCCCATTAAAATATTCCATGACCCAAGAGCCTGGAGAGTCCGTTGCTGATTAGGTTAGGTGACATTTAACACCAATCTACCCACCAACTCGCAACTTCTAGCTAACCCTGTGGGGATGACTTATTTTCCTGTTATCATCATAACGAGAAAGGACACAAGGGGAGTCCACAGGGTGAGCCACATTCCCCGAGCACTGGCTGTGGGCTGAGCCAGCGGCTGCAGGCACCCCAGATCAGTGTCCTCCTGTCTGTGGGCAGTTCCCTGGGACACAGACCCAGCAACGTGAGTGCACGGGGTTCACCGAGGAGGCTGCCCGGGAGAGCACCCGTGAGAGGGTGAGGAAGGCAGCAGGTGTGGGCCAGGCAAGGCAAGCTGTGGTGTGGCTACAACAAAGGATTCAGCCAGTCTCATGGAAATCTCTAAAATTAAAATGGCTCTTCAGAGTTGTCCCGAGGTGGGCCCAGGCCTTGGAGCTCCCGCACGGAACAGTGGCAGGATGTGGGCTGACCCCAGTGGGAGAGGTCTCTTTGCTGGAGGCGATGCCTGGAGAGGACTCCCGTGTGAGTGCTCAGCACCCACACCTCTTGTGTGTCTGCTCGTTGCTGACAGACCATTGGGTGGTTTCCGTTTCTTGGCTAGTGTGAGTGATTCTGCTATGAACATGCATGTACAAGGTCATGCGTGGACATATGTTTTTACTTCTGTTATGCATATACCTAGCAGTGGAATTTCTGGGTCATGTGGTAACCCCATGTTAACATCTTGGGCAACTGCCAGACTGCTTGATAGAGCAGTTAATGTCCATCTAACTTGCCATTATCTGTCTTTCTTTATTACAGAATCCTAGTGGGTATGGGTATGGAGTGGTATTGTGTCTAGCTTGCATTTCTCAAAATAGGGGCCGTGTGTACAGCTTTGAAGAGGTGCCTAATCAAGTCCTTTGCCCATTTGGTTTTTTAAATTGGTCTTTTATTGTTGGATTGTAAAAATTCCTTATATAATCTTGATGATATTCTTAAAGTCCAGTTTATCCATGTTTTCTTTTGTCTTTTGTGATTTCTGTGTCCTATCTAAATCCTAAGTTTTAAAAAATTGTTGCCCCTGTTGCCTTGCTGTCGTCTTACGCCCACTTCCTTGTCTCATTTCCCAGACGTTTTGGGAAATGTCAAAAGCCACCAGCCACCATTTTGGTTACCAAGGCCATGGCTTCTAACATTGCAAGTAGCAAGAATAAACATACACTAGACTCAAAGCTAAAAAAAACAAAAGGAAACTTTCTTAGGAGATGAATTTTACAACCAGAAGGCAGAGAAACACAGTCAAGGCCTAAACAATGAGCCCGGAGACCACAAACAATGGCTACCAGGAGCTCAGGGAATCCCTCTCCTGCCCTCACGGTGCTGCCCCATCTCCGTCCCTCCAGACCAGCTGCTTTTCTGTCCGAGGCCCTCTGAGTAACGGGCTCTCTCTCACAGGCCAGACTTTGCAAGTCCCAGCTCAGTTCTCACAGAGGCGAAGGCTCTCTCCGGCTGCCAACGCCCTTCCCAGCAGAGAGGATCTGGGCTGGGTTCGGCCACCGGGGAAGAGGCAGGTGGGAGTGAAGACAACTCACTGCAGAGGCGTGGCTGCCGCGGTCGTAACTGAAGGGCCAGGTCTCCCAAAAGGTGACATTGTTGGGACTGGAGATGCTCCGAAAGGAGCCGCACAGATGCTACTGAGTGACAGAGCCAACATCCCACCACAGACAACCCAGCTCCAGGCCCGCGGGGAGCCTTTGCCTTGGGAACCCAGCAGTAGACCCAGAGGACGTGACCTTGAACCTAGTCCAGCATCGGAACTCAGCTGTGCAAACCCCAGCGGCCCCTTTTCAGTTTACCATGATGTGTTTGCACTGAACTGTACATCCCATTGGCTTACTAAGCAAACATAATCCAACCAGGCCTCTTTCTGCCCCTCTTCAAATGTTACAGAATCAATAACGAGCAATGTTTATTTTTTGCAAAACATCATTTTCTTTACATGGGTGATTTAGGGCCAATGTAATCCCTATGTTTCAAAGTCATTGACATTTAAATTAATTCGCCGGGTTTATTTTTTCATTGTTTATTTTTTAGCACTATTTGATGCTCAGGAAGCCTTACAAAAGGTTAAAGAAAAACACAGTTTCCCCCCCTTATTTTGGTTACATATACAAAATGCCTTCAGACTCAGTTAAAACCCTTTCTTCCCAACCCCTGACCCCTACACAGAGCGGTCAGAGATAACTTCATAGTTTGAATTTTTAAAAAAAGAAAAAGAGGGGGTCCTATGGTTTCAAGCCAATGTGAATGCTAAAATGCAAACGCCAGTGGCCAAAACAGAAAAGACTGAGATGCAGGCAGAAGAGAAGGTTGGAAACGTGCGATCGCCACTCACGCACACGGAACTCTCACTCTCTCCACTTCTCTGCCCCTGAGCACTCGGTCGTTAGCCGCTGCGGCTTCTGACAGGAGACATTCATCATCTTGCCACTTACTAAGGCCTGCCGTTGCCGTTGAGGTTTCTATGGAGGACAGTTTTCATAGCTTAAATGAAATAACTCTGCAGGTTCAACATGCAACAGAAATATATGTGAAGTATGCATCAAGAGGAAGAATTTACCTAAAATATTGTACAAGCAAAAAGGTATTGAAAAGAGCAATGGTTCAGCTTCCCAATTTTTTCTGAGTCTGTTAGGTTTTAACAAGGTCTCTCCAAGAGAAATTGTAATAGACGTAATTAGCAGATAAGTCTTAGCAAAACTTTTAAAAATATTTTCCAGAAACTGAGAAAGTGACTAGGTAACAAATGTTTTTGCTAGTCAGGCGGTTTCTAGTTCTTTGCTTTCAGCACAATTGAAGGAGGACCTAATAGAGTTGTCAAGTGATGGATCATTTGAAATAATTTTTAACGATAGATCACCTAAGATTTTTGACGTTTAACTGAGGAGTTAATGAATTAAATGACATTGTTATATCAAAAGTACTTTCATTCCCATTTACTTATTTAAGTAGCTGTGGGTTTTTTTGGCACTGACTTTTTAAAATGAAAAATAGGAACAGACACGTATTGAACCTTGTCACTTTACATGATGAAGTAGTATTTTTCCATGGATGTAGGTATGTACTAAAAAGGCCTAACTATCTCATTAACAGATGCACTTTCAATAAAAATTGACCTTTAATCCACCCCAGATGGAGGCATAGGTAGATATACCGTGCCTCCTCACACAACCAAAAGAAGGACAACACATTTAAAAACAATAAACAACCAGAAGTGACAGAAAATCGAATTGTGTAGAAGTCCAGTGACCAAGGAGTTAAAGAAGAAACATTCATCCAGACCGGTAGGAGGGGCAGAGACGGGCAGCCGGGGCAGAGAGGACTCGCAGCAAGGCGGCAGCTGGAGTACCAGGTGGGCAAGGCAGCAGCTGGCGGAGCAGACAGCCCCACATTTGCTTGTGAATAAACCAGGAGGAACAAACATGAAGCGAGTCAGACCCTGCAACCCAGGGTTCCAGCGAAGGGAAATAAAGCCTCAAAACCTCTGACTGAAAACACCTGTGGGGGTTGCAGTGTTGGAAGAAACTCCCAGCCTCACAGGAGAGTGACTGAAGAGACTCACAGGGCCCCAGAACATACACAAACCCACCTACCCGGGAGTCAGCACCAGAAGGGCCCGATTTGCTTGTGGGTTTCAGAGGAAGTGACTGAAAGGCCACCGAGAGCTGAGCAAAAGCACTGTTCCCTCTCGGATCCCCTCCCCCACATACAGCATCACAACACAGCAACATGGGCTGCCCAGCCCTGGTGAACACCTAAGGCTCCGCCCCTTATATGTAACAGGTGTGCCAAGACAAAAAATACATATATATGGCCCAACTGAAAAAAACAGATCAAAGCTCCAGAAAAGATACAACTAAGTGATGAAGAGATAGCCAACCTATCAGATGCACAGTTCAAAACACTGGTAATCAGGACGCGCACAGAATTGGTTGAGTATGGTCACAAAATAGAGGAAAAAGTGAAGGCAATGAAAAATGAAATAAAGGAAAATGTACAGGAAAACAACAGTGACAGGAAGGAAACAAGGGCTCAAATCAATGGTTTGGACCAGAAGGAAGAAAGAAATATTCAACCAGAATAGAATGAAGAAATAAGAATTCAAAAAAATGAGGAGAGGCTTGGGAACCTCCAGGACAACTTTAAATGTTCCAATATCCAAATCATAGGGGTACCAGAAGGGGAAGAAGAAGAGCAAGAAATTGAAAACTTATTTGAAAACATAATGAAGAAGAACTTCCCCAATCTGGCAAAGGAAACAGACTTCCAGGAAGTCCAGAAAGCTCAGAGAGTCCCAAAGAAGTTGGACCCAAGGAGGCACACACTAAGGCACATCATAATTACATTACCTAAGATTAAAAATAAGGAGAAAATCTTAAAAGCAGCAAGAGAAAAGGAGACAGTTACCTACAAACAAGTGCCCATAAGACTATAGCTGATATCTCAAAAGAAACCTTCAGGCAAGAATGGGCTGGAAAGAAGTATTCAAATTCATGAAAGGCAAAGACCTACATCCAAGATGACTCTATCCAGCAAAGCTACCATTTAGAATGCAGAGCAGATACAATGCTCCCCTGATAAGGTCAGGTTAGAGGAGTTCATCATCACCAAGCCCTTATTATATGAATGTTAAAGGGACTTATCTAAGAAAAAAAGATAAAAAATATGAATAGTAAAATGACAACAAACTCACAAGCAACAACAATTGAACCTAAAAGAATAAAAACAAAACCAAAAATGAACTAAGCAACTAGAACAGGAACAGAATCACAGAAATGGAGATCACATGGAGGGTTATCAGTGGGGAAGGGGTGGGGGAATGGGAGAAAAGGTACAGGGAATAAGTAGCATAGATGGTAGGTAGAAAATAGACAGGGGGAGGTTAAGAATAGTATAGGAAATGGAAAAGCCAAAGAACTTTTATGTACGACCCAGGGACATGAACTTGGGGTGGGAAGATGCAGGTGGGAGGGGTGTGCAGGGGGGAGGGGAATGAAGGGGGAAAATGGGACAACTGTAATAGCATAATCAATAAAATATATTTTTAAAATGGCAAAAAAAGAGTGTAAAAGAGTCTCATTACCAAAATTTTGGCTACATACTAATGCACGGAAAAATCTGAAAGTAATAATTTATAAATAAATTATAAATAATTTAATTATTCTAATTTTAAAAAATGGACCTTTACTATTTAGGAATTGTTTATCAAATTGGCAATGCATAGTGTTTAGATAAGTTAATTTTATTAATAAAGGAAACTCTATCCAGAAGAATGTTTTAATATTTAGATGTTATATTAACAGGAAATTAAAACTTTTACTTCAATTTTATTTTTAATGTTAAGAAGTATAATAGTATAGTCAATAAAATACTTTCAATCATAAAAAGTATATTACATTGGAATAAAATTCAATAATTGAAGAAAATGCCAGGAAGTAGACTTTTCATTGAAATACAAATTCAAGAACAGGAATTACCAGCATAAATTTCTCACTGTGAAAGAAGAGTTTAATCACATATTTTAACTGGATAGGAATAAGTATAAATCACTATAGTATTTCAATTTCTCTGGATACACAGAGAAGATGAATGTATTATTTCTATTGCAAGACTTACCATCTTCCTGGATTTATACCATTTGCAGCCATTAAAATGTGGACGGGGTACACAGCTTTTCTAATTTTTTTAGGGGGTACACAGCAAAATGTTCGCAAACCACCGGTCTGCACTCCGGACTCTGCAGCGTGAAACCCGTGCTCTGCGGTCCGACCCTCGAGGCTCCTCAGGACCTAGCTCCTTCCCCCTCCCTCCTTCTCCGTCTCCCACAGACCCGGGCTGTGGCCTTGGCCAGCTCTCCTCTTTCTCACCTGCAAGTCTTAAAAAAATGCCACTGCTCTCTTCCGAAAGGCCTTGCCCACCTTTTTCTGTCACAGGAGGCCCTCCCATTCCTCCCCACTCAGCCCCTCCAGCAGACCGTCCCCAGTACCCCAGGGCCAGGTGCAGTGTCTTCCTCCCCTGGGGTCCCAGGTCACCAACAGGTCCCTGTGCCCCAGCAGCACAGGGTGGGTGCAGTGACCCAGTTGTCCTTCTAGTCGTCGGTCTTTCCTGCGGGTCTGTGGCGTCTCTTATTCACCTTGGCCTCCTCAGGCGTCCGAGCACATAGTAGGTGCTCATCAGTATGTGTTGAATGAATCACAGGATGGAATGGCCTCTGGCGTCGTCACTCTTGGGGCTTTATTATTAATGTTTTATGCATTTCTAAGTCAGCCATGCCGACCACCCTGCACCTGTCAGCCCAGCCTGCTCGTTCCTCTCACCGCCCTTGCCTGGGCCCCAGAGTGCCTGCAGGCCTGTTCTCACCAGCAGGTGTCCGATCCGGCGCCTCTCCGTGTGCTGGTGTCCCCAGGGGAGTCAGCAGCTGGGAACTCGCTGAGCGTTTTCTCACAGGAATGATGTTCCCGGTGGTGGTGGGGGGCCAGGCCACAGAGCCTAATCTCTCTAAACGTCTTGAAGATACTAGATGCCTGCAATTAAAAAAAAAGCATTCAATGACAGTAAAGCCACAACAATGTTAATATTACATGTGTTTTAAAAGATAAGTTCATGAGTTTCTAATTTTAAAAGAGTAATTTGCCCCACGGAGCACTCAGCAGGTGAGACAGGAACGAGCAGTCGTTGAACACCTGCTGGGTGCCGGGAGCGGGGGCGGGGCTGTGGCGGGCACACCTGGGCTGTGTGCGCCCCCACCTCTGGCCTCGTCACCGCAGCTGAGGGGAGGAAGGCTGGTGCTGGCGTCATTTTAGGTGGTGACTTTCCTACTTTGCTCTCTTACTCCCTTTTCTTCTCACCAACATAAAAAAGGCCTGGATGATGCTCATTGATTAGAATGACAAAATGTAAAACCCTGTAAGGAACTCATGGATACAACCAACTGCATGTTGATTGCGGGGGTTGGGGGTGGTAGATGGAAGTAGGAGAAGGTCTGGGGGGGGGGCGGCAAATGGTAATGGAAAAAATACAGTAAAAATGAATTATTAGCAATCAAAACTCGTATCCTCTGCCCCTACCCCAGCAGGGGAATCCCAGAACAGACTCTAGGTGTCTGTGAAGGGACACGGGGGAGGGGACATACTGGACTAACCCGTGCTGGTCCAGCAGGGATGCGGGGACCCAGATGCAGGTGCGGCGTGACTCCCAAACCTGCGCCCTGCCCTCCCCAGCCCCAAGCTGAACCACAAACGCCGTTCTGCTTCTCCCTGGTCTTCACACGTCTTCTCGTCACCTCATTCACGGACCCTCCCTCTCAGGCTGGCCAGCACAACCGATTCCAAATCCGTCCGCTTACCTCTGCCCCCACAGCCACACGTTACTCTAGTCGAGCCACCATCCTCTTCGTCCAGGACCAAAATCGTCTCCTAATGTAGCTCCCACTTCCCCCTCTAAGCTCCTCGCTCACCTGACGGCGGGCATGATGTTTACAAGACCCAGGTCAGGTGGAAGCAGCCCCTCCACCGAACCACCCAGGACACCCCACTGCTCCTGGGGTGACCTCTTCTGTCATCTCCGAAGGCCAGGCCCTGGCCCCCACCTAGCCCCGCACCTCACGTCCCGCCACTGGGTCCTGGCACCAGGCTCACCTCCTCACGCGGCACTAACTCCCCCTTCTACCAAGCCCGCCCCAGTGTCCCACTCTGCTTTCTCCTTGCCATTGTGTTAGCCATTTTGGGGGTGCATTTCTGCAAGAAGCCTTCTCTATCAGCTTGAGCTAAGAAAGTTTATAGCAACCCATCCTCATTACCCCCTGTTCTTCTTTCTTTTTTTAAATCCTCACCCAAGGTCGTGTTTATTGATTTTAGAGAGAAAGGAAGGGAGAGGAGGAGAGAGGGAAACATCGATGTGAAAGAGAAATATCTATTGGTTGTCTCCCCCGTACATGCCCTGACCAGGGATTGAACCCACACCCTAGGTGTGTGCCCTGATTGGGGATCAAACCCACAACTTGGGTATGTGCCCTCACCAGGGATTGAACCCTCATCTTTTTGGTGTACAAGATTGACTATTCCAACCAACTGAGCCACTGGCCAGGGTCACCAGGTTCCTTTTCCCCAAAGCACCTACAATTATGTATAATAATTGCTTACTTACGATCCCATTTCCCTAATAAAATAGAATCTCTAAGAAGGAAGGACCCACATCAGCTTGTTCTCAGCCTATGCTCAGAGCCCAGCGTCTGGGAGGGACTCCCTCCACACAACACCGTGCTCCTTCCCCAGCTGCCACGCACCCAGACTCTCGGAGCCTCTGTTTGCTGGTCTGGAAAATGAGAGCAATTATGCTTCCATCTTTGCGAAGTTGGAATGAGATGGTAATGCATGCAAAATGCTTTGAAAACAGTGAAGCACACGCTAGCCATGTGATGAGCCATGTGTGCTCCTACTCGAGGTCAAAAAGGAAGTGCAGTCGCACCCAGCCCAGCTCTCCCGGCTGCCAGGGGCTGTCAAGACTTTTCAACCAACTGCGAGCTTCAGACCAGTGGGGGCTCTAATAGGCCGCTCTGCGCAGTTGGCTGCATTTCCAGCCTGTGCAGTCATGGTTATAATCACAGTTCCAAGAGCTCTGTTTCATTTCACAGGGATTCCGTGGCACCGTCTGCAAACTACCCCAGCTGTGCGACCACAGGCAGATCTCGGTAGCAGGTGCTTTTATTCGGGCCCATTTGCTTCTTCTCCTACAATATCAGGGGTGTCGGTATCTATTATACTCATTATTTTCAGGTGCCAGGCGAAAAGAGATTTGGGTGACCACTGAGCAGAATGCATGGCTCTCACCTGCTGTCATCCCTCCCTGAATGAACAGTCGCTTGGACGAACTCGCTTTAGCAGAGCCAGACCTTTTTCCAGCAGCCGGAGAACAGCCTGTAATGGGGAAATTACTCTGCCCATGCATCTCGCCAAGGGAAAACATTCTTCAGCTTGTCAAGACAGTGCAGCCTCTTAGAAGAAGCAATAGCAAAGTCAATTTCTCCATTCTTGCCACTAAGGGACTAGGGACATACCTCACTGTAGAACCAAAATTAACAGCCCAGCGGGAAGAGGGGCTGAGCCCACTGGAAATGGGCAGGGACGGGTGAGAGAGAGAGCGCAAATCCAAGCTGAGCCCAGTCTGGGCGCTTACCTATTTCTAGCCCCGTCACCTGCTTTTCCTCGGGGCCCTTTTGGTCATAAAATCTCTTCACTAGGCAGAGTGATAATAATGCCAACACTCATCCGATCCTCAGAGAGAGACTTTACTATTTCGCTCCGTTTTTATCTGTCTAATGATTTCCAGCTTCAGCCAGCACTACGGAGGGGCCAGGAAAGCCGCAAGAACGCTTGGCGGGATCCTTCCGAGTGAAGGAAAAGCCTAAATCTTTGAGTACAGAGTAGAGGTTGGTCCCGAGCCACACGATGCTCATCGCATTCCCCCTTCCAAGATGTGGACGGGGACAAAAGCATACGGGTGCTGGAGGTGAATTTGCAGGGGAAGGGGATGGTGTGCAAGGCGTGGGATCCCTGGGGCCCCCGAGAATGGAGCCTCCTTGAAGAACATTCCAAGGAGAGTTTTCTTATCCTCCGCGTCCATCCAGTCCTTCCGCCCCACTGAACCAACGGTGGGTTTCCCAGGCTTGCACCTCACCGAGTCCGTTCTGCCACTCATTGTTAGAAATTGTTGGTTTCGGTACCCATGAGAAAGAAATCTTGCTGCTAATGAAACTGTGGAAACCGTGGAGAAAGACCCCAGGGTCCTCCAGGCCACCAGTCTTGTTTCTTTCCCGGGATGCCTTTTCTCTGACTTGCTCTGTCTTATATTTTCTTCAAGTCCCATCCCGCCCAACATTTGACCGTTACTTGCAATTGTCCACCCAGTTCATGTAAGTTTGGAATCTACACAGTGAGCTCGCTGTGGACAGGGCTCCCATTCAGTCCATCTGGGGTCCATCAGAGCCCCGCACAGCTTCCGGCCAGGAATGGGTGCTCAGTCACTCTGCACACGTCCTCTGTTAAAGCCAGTCTCCGAGGCTTCCCCGATGCCTCCCTATAGGTGTGGCTTTTGCCTCGATGAAAAGGAAAAGACAGCAACTGGCAGAATTTTCCGGCGACATATCTAGCCTTCCATAGGTTTTCTTTTTTAATTGATTTGAGAAAGAGAAGGAGATGGGAGGCGATTTGCTATTCCACTTATTTATGCATTCACTGGTTGCTTCTTGAATACGCCCTGATCAGGGTCAAACCCACAACCTCGGCATATTGGGACAACCTTCTAACCCACTGAGTGACCTGGCCAGGGTGCCTTCCACAGGTTTTTTTTTTCTCATGCATGTCTCCATAAACAGGTGATCCTAGACCTGGCTGGTGTGGTTCAGTGGATTGAGTGCCAGCCTGCAAACCAAAGGTTGACTGTTCGATTCCCAGTCAGAGCACATGCCTGGGTTGTGGGCCAGAGGCAAGAGGCAACCATACAGTAATGTTTTTCTCCCTCTCTTTCTCCCTCTCTTTCCCTCTCTCTAAAAATAAATAATTAAACAAAAGAGAGAGAGAGAGAGAGAGACGGTCCCACTCTCCACAGGAAGAGAGGCTATGTCCAGGACTGTCATCTCCTTCTCATCCGTTCAGTGAGTGTGTGCTGAGCTCAGGGACCAAGCTCAGGCAGAGCTGAGCCCTGGAGCGGACGAGGAAGTCACTGACTTTGCCCTCCAGGAGGGCAATGTCTGCAAGGGAGGACGTCAGAGTAGCTCTTAGCACCAGTCCTGGGTGGTGAGGACGAAACGCTGGGCAATGGAGGAGACGATGAGATTTCAGTGGAGTTTGAGGAGGACCTTGAATGACCAGGCAAAGGCAGGAAGGGTCCAAAATAGTACACAAAAACATACAGAGGCTTTCAGCAGGCTGGGCAGGAATACCATGAGGTCCCTCCAGTGCATGGGGCTCTTCTGAGTGGAGTAACATTTGCTTAATTTTGGTCCTTCCGCACATGTGTCATCTCAAAGACCGGTCGGTTAGGGGACACTGAGGCAGCACAACACTCCACAATTGTCTCTGTGTGCTCCTTTGTCCCTTCGTCTGAACAAGAAAATGCCATCAAGTCTGTATTCAGCCAGGAGGCTCCCCGACCCTGTTCACTTGAAAACTAGTTATCCTGACTCATACGTCTGGAACGATCCGGGGCACTCCCTGAATGCTCCGTTCCGGCTCAGCCACGCCAGTCACCCAGGCTACCTGTCATTTGCCTCCTCCCTTTGAAGGTGCGTGCTGACGATGCTCTGACCACTGAAAACTGCAGCACGCCAGGTCTGGAGTAATCGTGGTCTTCCACCCGTTTTAAGAAGGTGTGGAAAATCATAAAAGCCACAGCCTAGGTCTCAGGCAGGATTCGCAGGGGAATCTCCTCTGCGTGGTGTCTGCGCCGGGTCTCCAGTTTTTATTCTCACACCCCCACCCTCGCCGTGCTCCGAGTCCGTGCTGGGCGTCCAGGGCTGCAGCCCACCGATCAGACGCCGTGTGAAGCGATGTCTGTGCGAGATCTCAACCCCGTCCCCACGACGTTCTTCTGTGACCCTGAGCGGCACGTCGGGGCCGTTCGCCGCAGACGCAGCAGGACAGGGCCCTGCTTGTTTCACCCCAGAGTGCGTGGGGCAGCCACATCCTGTGATGAGGCTGCAACAGAGAGTCAGCGGCACTGCTGCCGGCGAGCTGGCTGAGCCAGAACTCGGCAGCAGGTGCCCCTGTGAGCCCAGGCCACGCGCAGGGAGACCCCCCCACCCCGCCGCCCCTGCCACCGACCGGGAAACGTCACTCAGGTGGCTGCTGCTCCCGTTAGCTCCCTGCAGGTCTGCAAACATCTGTGGCCCGGCCCGCACCACTGCTCCAAAGCTGGCCCTGTGCCCGGCACTCAGAGTTAGAGGAAGACCCCATGTCCACCCTCGAGGGACCGAGTGTCTAACTCTAAACTCTGAAACATGAACTTCCACAAGGGGAGGCAACTGGCTCTAAGCCACCCCGTTTGTAAGGGACTGAGCCAGAATTAGGATCCAAGTTGCTGTGTCTAATTTCAAAATGAACCCTCCCCCTTTTCTACCATACCCCACTGCAAACTCTTATCACACTGCAGTATAATTATTTATAATTGTTTCTCAGCTGCTGTTAAAATGCGTTTATTTCCTCCTAACTTAACAGGCAATTAGCAGAGACACAAGTCAGGCTGTGGAAGTGTATTATCAGCATGGAAAATAGTCACATATATTAAATACACTTTGTGTATTTAAAATAAAAGTAAAATTGGTTTATCTCTGGATGATTGGTGTGATAGTTGTCTTTTTTAATGCTGTTCTATTTTTTTAATGTTCTAAAATGAGATCGCATCACATCTATAATTTTTTAAAATTATTTTTAAAATAAAATAAAACATATGTGAAAGCACTTTCTAGACCATAAAGTGCCAGAAAGTATCAGCTACGAAATTCATTGCAAGGCGATAAACCCCTCGATGCGTGGATTAGGTCAAAAGCACGTCTCACCGGCCTTGACAGTTGACGGTGACAGATGCCCCAGCAAGGAGCTGCTCTCAGAGCCGTCAGGCGGTGGTTGCCAGGGTCGCACCACCCGATTGGCTGGGCCCAGCTCTGCCCAGCCTCCCCGAGAGCCCGGAACACTGGCGCCACAGCCCTGTCGGGTGCTGCTGTGTCCAGGAGGGTGCGAGCCTCCCAGTCTCTGCTGGCAAGCCCTCATTGCACGGAAGGTTTTCTTCCTTTCTGCCTGGCCTTGCCCAGTGGTACTATTCACATCTGCTACCTGCCACTTCCCGCAAGGAGACCTGGTGGAAATTTGGCTTTCACGACACCTTGCATGTGCATGTGGGTCCCCAGCTCCTTGAGCAGATGGGTAATAGTGAGCTGACTGCTGAGCCAGGCACCCTGGAACTTCATCGCAGATTCAAGCTTTCGTTCACCTCTTTGGAGATCAGCCTCGGCTACTAAGCTCTCTTCTTCTTATCTCAGAGAGGCCAGCGGCCTCCCCGCGCAGGCTTACTGGTGTCTGGCTGACCGACCCCTTGGACAGAGAAGTAAGAGTCCCCCCCACTTTGGGCTTCCCCAGCAGTTCCAGAGATTAAGGCTCGTGATAGACCCTTCTAGGAGTTTCAACCTAGCAATTCTGGGCCTTTACACTTATCGTATATCAAGGTTGCTGAAGGCATGTATTTCTAACTTAATCCACGGTTCCTTCTAGACACTCATTATATGAGTGCATGCCTTCAAGCAGTATGCTCTGTAGCAGTGAGGTCAAATAATGTTTTACCATGGCTTTATGATTTTAAGGCACGTTCAGCTGCACTGTAGTCCTCCCAGCAGCCCTGTGGGAAACATATTATTACATATTCGCAGTGAGGGAACCAAAGCGTAGCAAGGCTGGATGGTAAGTCCAGGATTCAAGTGCAAGACTCAATTTTGCACGGTCTCCTTTAAATGACATCTCTCTCCCACATGATCAAAACAGAAGCGGAAATAAAGCAAAGACTCATTGACTCCCCCAAGGTCACAGAGCTCACAGGTGGCAAACCTGGGCTGACAACCAGTCTCCTGACCCCAAACCCACGATCTTACCACACTGCGCATTTCACCACAGATCGCGGCGAATTATGCCCACGGCAGAGTTTCGAAGGTGAATGGCAGATGAAAGCTGTTTTGGGAAGGCTGGGATGCACACATTTCCCCTTTCCTTCCCAGGACTGTCCAGCATGGTTTTCCGCGCGGCACTGCTGACGTGGTCTTCTCCCCTGCAGGGTGTGTGGCGGTGGTGTCGGTGATTGAACAGCTGGCCCAAGTTCACAACTCCTCGGTCCAGGCCTCCATGGAGAGACTGTGCAGCTACCTGCCCGGTAAGGACGGGAAGGGTCGCGTGGGTGGGGGGGCTCCCTCTCTTTCTCGCTCGTGAGTCACCCTGAGCAAGTTTACAACCGGCCCGTCCTTATGGAGGGGCATCTGACTGTGTTATTTCTATAAACTGGTATTCTGTCGGGCTCCTAGAAATTAACACAAAAACAAGGAAATCCCTTGTTTTCCCCAGGTTTCTCCTCTGCCATTCCTCTCCCACCACGGCAGAATAATGTGGCTAGTCATGGTCATTGTGATCAAAATAATGAACGATTTTAATAATTTATGTTAATTTGACCCCATGCACAGACCCAACACGAAGCTTTTGGCTGAGAATACAACTGATCTCCAAACCCCAGATGGGAAATAACCAAACAACCTGGGAACATTTCTCTGATTTGAACTGGATCGTAGTCAAATCCTTATGTGTTCTGCAAAAGAAGCAGCTGATTGCTGGTTTAAACAAGTCATGCCTTTGTGGTTCAATCTCAGCAGAAAGAAAATATTCTTCTATCCCTTAAGGATACTGCTGGGTGACTAGTCACAATGAATAAATTTCCACAGGAGTCCAATGGTCATTTATTCAATGGTAAGGAACTAACTCATCAAGGATTCCCACTCTGTTTTTCTAAGTAAGGCTGTTAGGCTAAAGATGATTGTATCTTTGATGCGCAGCTCATGCTGTGCTGACAGCACCAAAGCGCTTTCAGAGAATGTAGTGCATGCAGCTACCAAGTCAATTTTTTTTATTTTTTTACTTTATTTTTTTCTTTTGATTTAATCTTTATTGTATTTTTTCCACAAAGCCAGTTTTTCCAAAATTCAAAAATAAAGACTGGGAGAGGGTACTGTACAAACACTTGTTTACCAAATCCCAGATTCTCCATTGCCAAGATGTGGACACATTTACCTCAGGTCCTTCTTTTGTGGAGTTAGGGTGACCTTCAAATGCCCTTTGGTTTCCCCGACTGCCAGTTCCATTTTCCTACCTCTCTACAGAGCCCCACACTCATGAACTTAAAGACTATTGTTCTTACCAAGCCTTATACTTTCACAGTCACTTTTGTGAACTCACACCCAATGTACAGTGTTGTTCTGTGGTTGGTTGGTTCTTTTAACCTTTTCTTGGTGAACCAAATGTAGACAATGACACGAAATAAATGAGTACCTTTAGCACCTTGTAAACATAGCTCGGGTCAAGAAGGAACACAGAGGTAGCCCCTCTAGAAGGCCCATCCACACACCACATCCCATCCTAAGTCCCCCACCCGCCGAGAAGGACCATGTCTTGGGTTCTGCTACAGTCATTTCCTTGCATGGTGGTATAGCGTTATCACCCAAGGGGACATCCCCAGACACCACCGTCCTGACCAGCTTTAAAATTTGTGCCCTCTGTTTTCATCCACAACTTGCCTCTCCATCCCTTCCCCTTCTTTGTAACTCAGCTGTGGAACGTGCCCGGAGGAGTTCCCCGGATCCCCTGGGTGCGTCCCTGTGGTACAATTAGGCACACTTCCCTGTGCTCCGTGGCAGCCGCGTCCAGAGGCTCGGTCAGACCCCAGTGTGATTTCCTTGGCGAGGCTTACATGCGCTGGCCTTTTCTTTCTTCAGACGGCCCTCACAAGTGCTTTTCTTTTTTCTCTTTTTGCGATGTGAACGGTTGTTGGTGCTCAATGACCAGACCCGTAGTTTGCAGGGGGTTGCAAAATGGTGCTCCTTCAACCTATCGTTTGTATTTCATTTAGTAATTGAAATATACAGCGTTCAGCAAAAATAACAGCCCCCTTTTTTATTATAAAATTCTTTTATGACAAAACTCTTTTATTACAAAGTCGAAAGCACGTCATTCTGCAACGTAACAATATCACACTCAAGCACACCATACGATGTTTCGGGTGAAATGTTCAAATTGCTGTCCATCTCGTGGGAGACACCCACGTGCCCTACCCACCACACTCACGCAGGCCTCATTCTGTCGGACCCGGTATTTAGAGACAGTGCCTGTCCTCACCATCACATTTTATAGATGTTTTCCCCCAAAGTCCCTGATGGTACTGCTCATACTAGAAAGAAAGGATTAAACACTTAATTCTTTTGCTTTATTTGCCAGTTTTCAAATAATCCATTGCCTTTCTATTACTATCCCGAAGTAGTCAATTAGCTTTCTTTAAAATGCCATTATGAACTCAAGCCCTGGCTGGCGTAGCTCAGTGGATTGAGCGTGGGCTGAGAACCAAAGTGTCACAGGTTCGATTCCCAGTCAGGGCACATGCCTGGGTACAGGCCATGACCCCCAGCAACCGCACACTCATGTTTCTCTCTCTCTCTTTCTCCCTCCCTTCCCTCACTAAAAATAAATAAAAACTTTTAATAAAAAGATGCCATTATGAACTCATGAATATGTACATACTTGATGAGTTTCAATCTATTTCAATTACTACCTTGCTGAAGTTCCAACTGTCCCAACTTTGACTGGTGGGAACCTCTTCTGTTTGGCTCCTGGGTCCTCTGACACGGCCCTACGTAACCACCGCTGACGGCTTCGTCCCTGAGTGGGGTGCCCAGGTGTCCCGAACCCGTCTCACACTTTTCCAGCCCCAGGCTTGAAGTCAGTCATTTGCTTTAGAAGCCCTGGTTGCTTTGGGAGGGAAATAATATTTTAAAACCACAATCTGGATGCATAGGAACACTCATTGCTATTGAGTTGATCATTCTTTCTAAGCCTCTGCAGTAGGCACCGATACAAATACACACACACACACATTTGCATATATAATTTTAAAATAATATATCTAATAAGTTCATATCGACACTTTAAATTCAGGGCTACAGGATTTTTTTTCTTCATCTCTTCTCTCCGTAGCTGTCCCCTGCTTCTTTCCACACTCTCAGACCTCCTTCTCAAGGACAAAGGGATCGATAGAGTTAAAAGAGCCCATGATTATTCATCTCCCTGTCCCTCTCTGCACACAGAGCAGCTTCAGCATATCAATTCTAGTACGGCTACCGTTAATATGTTTTATGATCATCGAGAGCAGTTAAAACGGGTTTTTGCCTGCGCCTTTCCCATTCCTCATTTAATCGCTGCACTGTGTTATCTGAGGATCCCGCCGTCACGTACAAGACCCGCTCCCCTCTCCCCCTGATTTCACGTTCGCCCCGTCAGCGGCCCTGAGATGGATGTGCACCATCAGCGCTTACGAGGACGTCAGTCTAGCTGGGTTGCTGTCTCCAGCTCATTCCTCAGGAAGGGCTCTTGGGAAATAGTCTCCGAATTTCTTGCATGTTTCATAACACACTGTCTGTGCCTTTTATACTTGAAAGTCAATGTTTTTCCGGATATAAAAACCCTTGGCCCGCAATTTCTTTCCCTGAGTAGCTGAAATATGTTATTAAAAAGCCTAATGATAATCTAATTTTCTTTTTCATAGAAGTCTATTTTTTGCCTAGAAGTTCAAAGGATTTTGTTTTCTTTCTTCTGTAAGATGTAGCCATCTAACTAGAATAGGTCTCGGGGTTCTTTGTTGCACATGGATGCCCTGGGGATGCACTGTGCTCTCACAATAGGGGCTTTCAAGCACATTACTTGCGATTTTAGGAAAGTGTTTAGCCTTTGTTCAGTTGCCTTCATTTGGTTTTCTTCTTCAGGGATTTCTATTATTCATACTTTGAATCTTCTTTGCCTACCTTCGATATTTGGCCTCTCTCTTGAATACCTTTTATCTCTTTATTTATTTTATATCTTAATTTTTCCCTCCCTTTCACCTTTCTATTTCTCTTAAGACATCAGCCTTTTCTTCCTTTTCTCTTTGGTTCATCGTCATTTTTTTAATAATCTTGTCTCTTCCCTGAGTTCTTTTATCCCGTATCTGCGTTTTTATGATTTTCATTTCTGTTGTTCTTTCACGTCTTACATCTTCGTGCTAAAGCTTCTTAGCTCATTTTGAAATATTATGTTTTGTTCTAATCCTTTTTTGGCATGGCTTTCTGGCATGCTTTTGCTATCTGTAGGAATTTTGTTCTATTCCTTATTCTTTTTTTTTCTTATAATAACTTCGTATGGGAGTTGACCTAGATACATTTCTGTTGCTCATTTTTATATGAGATTAGTTTTCTAAAACTCTTAGAAAAAGAAGTGGCTCAGGGTAGCTTTTCTAAATTCACGGGGCTCCTGCTTCTGTTGTTTCCACGCAGTTTGAAAAGAAGGGGACAGTGGCTCTGAGATTTTCTGAATCCATTCCCCCACCCACGTTTTTTGTTTTTATTTCTCTTTACATTGCTTCCATCCTGTTCAGTGCTGACCCCAAGCTCAGCAGCTTCTGCCCACTGGGGTCCCTCTCCTACAAAGGAGGCCTCGTGGGTCAGTTCCCGGACTGAGTCGGTGCCAGGCCACGCTCGCTCTTTAGTGCTTCCCACCTGGAGCTCTGGACTCACCTGTCACTGGAGCAGGCAAAGCCTCTCCAGGCCCAGCTGCTGTTCTTCAGTTGGCCCGCCACGCTTTCCAGCGGATACCTCGGAGTCACCTGGGGGTTCTCCTATCCTTGGGTTTATCTGAGTTACCTGGGGGTTCTCCTATCCTTCGGTCTATCTGAGTTACTTGGGGGTTCTCCTATCCTTGGGTTTATCTGAGTTACTTGGGGGTTCTCCTACCCTTGGGTTTATCTGACATCCCACTGCTTCTCTCAGACATTGATAACCCACAAGGCATGTGGCTGTGGGTAGTCTTACCTTGCCTAATCATAGTTTGGGGCAAGGGGCCAAGATGGTACCCTAAATACCAGCAGTCTTGGTTTGGGTTGCTTCATATGGGGGGAGGGGTGGAGAGAGAGAGAGAGACAGAGATTCGGTAGAGATTCAAAGAAATTCCAAAACTCTACTGCCTCTACCATCATCTCTCTAGAACCGCCCCTTGTGGGGGCCTCAGGCTCACATCGACGTCAGCTGTATGTACTGCCCTGTAACCCCTGCGTTCACGCCACAGGATGTTTGAGGTCTCTGCACACTG